CTCAGAGGAAACTATTAATCACATGCTGTTTGAATGCCCCCCTTGCTATGCAGGTGTGGGCTCTTTCGGACTTTCTGTCCCTTCCGGGTTACTTCCCGTGTTCATCTCTATATGGAAACCTAGATTTCCTATTTTGGAGGATAAAAGAAAGGTAGCTACCTGCACCTCAAAGGGATATTTTCCCATGGATTATTTGGTTCATTTGGAAGGTAAGAAATGACAAGGTATTCAATGGAAAAGTCGTATCAGCCATGGATACCCTCCAATATGCTACCATAGAAGCGGAAAGTTGGCAAAAAGCAAAAGAAAAGGAGATGGAAGAGGAGAGAGAAGAGGGGTATGGTCGAGACACCCCGGTCGAGCTCCTTGTGGCTCCCCAAATCCCGACTTGTCACATTGATGCCTCTTGGATTGATTATGGACCGGTCAGTGGAATTGGGTGGTACTTGACAGACACAATGAGATTCATCACCACTGGACAACAGAGATGCAGAAGAAGTCTGCCAGGTCTACATGCAGAACTGGATGGGCTTCTTTGAGCAATGGCATGCCTAAAAGATAGAAAATTTTAGAGAGTTTGCATCGAGACAGATTGCTCAAGTTTGGTTCAGATGATTGAGAACCCCGTGGATTGGCCTGCTTTTAGATCGGAACTCGATTATTTGTTTTTGCTTAGAACATCATTTGAGGAATGTATTATTCAGTTTATTCCTCGTAGTCAAAATGTTCGTGCTGATACTCTCGCCAAAATGGCAAGAGCAGGAGGATTTATCTTTTTCCATGTAAGTCAGACTCGGTTAATGGAAATAGAATCTTCAGAAACTGTAACCATTAACCTAAATTGACCTAATTTATGGTTGTTTATTGAAAAAAAAAGTATTCTTAACAATAAAAATAAAGAATATGGAGAAATTATTTGATTATTCTGTCAAAAATGGAAAGTGTTAAATTAAAAATAACTTATTTAATGTTATAATAAATAACTTTTATCTTATCTTATTATATAAAATTAGATGCATCAAAGTTATTAATTCATATGATTGTGACATGTGACAAAATCATTCGAATCAGATTTTGACATGTGTCGCGATTAAATTAAAAATAAATTTTTATTTTAAAATATAACTATTGTTAATAAAATTAAGAAAATATAACTGCTACAATATCTAAAAAAAATAAAAAAGTTTATAAAAATAATAATAATATATTCAATTAAGAAAAGAGAACTTTTTTCTCATCAAAGTAAAAACTAGGGAAATTGTAATAGATAACCATATTGGAATGCAATATTGGTAATCTAACCATATTGGAGCATGGTCATGATATTCTCTGTATTTTATGTAATATTCCCCAAATTAATCCTGTCATCTCTCCTTTCTCCCCCTATCTCACGTCTTTCATCATTCTTTCAATTTTTTTCTTAATTTTAATTTAATATTTATTGTTTATTGTTTCATATCTCTCTTTACTACTCTTATAATTCATATAGGTGAAAAAATATAATATTATACTATTTTTTATATATCGCAGCTATACTAGATCATATATATAATGACAGTTCTATACTCCTTTATTATAATATTGTAAATTTTCTGCAAATGAGGCGTTAATCATGCACTGCCTGAGACTTGTAGTTAGAATAGTTAAACTATCTCAACATTGTCTAGTTGGACTGAGAAATGCTATTCTATATGCAATATGCATGTAGTATAGATGGGTTTATCTCTCATTCAGTTTGTATATTAGATAACAAAGTCATGCTTACCGTGCGTATAATCTAAAAGGATTATAGTATAACTAAAAAGAGTTTTGGGTATAGTTTGTAGTGGCTTGAGTTTAGTTTTAAATAATCTAAGTGTCTATATACATAGTAATTTTGATTTAAGCTCAGGGGATTTGGGTAGTAAGTAGTGGCTTGGGTTTAGTTTTTAAATATGTGAATTTATTCTATATATTTTAATAACTTTGGTTTATATTCGGAGATTTGGGTATAATAAATAGTGGTCTGCGTTTAGTTTTAAAATATGTTAGGTTTTTTTCGCATAACAAGTTTATACTATTTTACAAGATAAAATAGTATTGGATGGAAGACAAAATAGTAAATACATTATAGACTAACTTGTTAATCATGTGAGGTTTTTTTCTCGTAACAAGTTTATATTATATTACCAGTTTTATTGACAAACTCCATGATTTTTTCACTTAATTAATTCAAAATTTTCCCACTCTAACTATTTTATGCAATGAGGGTTTATATACGAGTTTTTGGGTATAGTAATTAATAACTTAAGTTTCGTTTAAAAAATTTTGAATTTATTTTGAAGATCTATAGGCTGATCACATATAAATATTATTCTACATGTAATATTTGTATAATAGATAGGCTTATCTATCTTTTAGTTCATATATTATATAACAGAGTAACGCTTATATTATAGTACGTAGTGGTTTAAATTTAATTTTAAAATATGTAGATTTAGTTTTAGTTGTCTATAACGGATTAAAGCTTATAGTGAGTAATATCATATGAAACAAAGATCTCAAATAATTTCAAAATTTATGTGAAATAAAATAGTAACTAATTTTTATTTTGAACACGAGATAGTTATATACTATTTCTTATCATACTATAAAATGTTATTCTGTTATGTTTATATTGAACTATGTTACTATTCACCTGTTTATGAATCACATATCCGTTTTGCAAAATTCAAATCATGTTGTATGCACAAAAAATCTATATTTGTGGTAATGCAAGATTTAGGTAAATATTAGTATGAAATTAAGATAACAAATAAAATTGAATCGGGTAATTATGTTTATGAGTTTAAGAAAACAATTTAATACACAAAATTCATTCTCTCTCTTCATAGGCCACGACGCCACGTGCACACATTAGTAAAAAAGGGATATTTTAGTTCAAAAAATATTGTCATGGTTACTTCCTACATTTATAAATAGTTTATATGGCTATATTTTTTATTTTGTGTCCCAATATGACCATAGTTAGCTAAATTAAAAATAAATTTAAAATTCAAAAATATCACTATTGTTAATAAAAATTAAGAAAATAAAACTATTACAATATTTTAAAAAAATTCTAAAAATAAAAATAATATATTTAATTAAGAAAAGAGAATTTTTCTCATCAAAAGTAAAAACTAATCCTAAAAGAAAAAAAAAGAAAATATTACTCACATTTTTATAAACATATAAAATCTCTTATAATTTACTAGACTGATTTTTCTCTTAGACTCGAATCAAATGAATAAGATGAGAAATTGATGAATCGATGAAAAATAATCAGATTTGAGGAAGCAAAATAAAGAAGAAATCTAATTTTCTTTTGAAATATCTAAAAAAATTTATATGTTAGTAATTCACATGATCGTGCACATATCGAGTTTTTCGATTAAGATTTTGACACGTGTCGCGACTAAATTAAAAATAAAACATAAATTTAGGAAATATCGTAATTATTAGAAAAATAAAAAATGAGAAAATATAACTACTACAATATCTAAAAAGGGTATATATATATATATATATATTTCAACTAAAAAGGAAAAACAGTTTAAAACAAAGTAAAAAATAATTATATAAAAAAAATAAAATTATTACTCACATCTTGATAAATACATAAAAACCTTTATAATTTTTTCAGGCTGATTCTTCTCGCAAACTCGAATCAATTGGATAAGATGAAAAACTAATGAAGCGACGAAAAACAATCAGAATTGTGAAAGCAAAATGAAGGAGAATACCAACTTTGCTCTGGTACCATTTACGAAATGCAATAAGAGTTTGTTAGAGAAAAATTATATTTGTGAAAAATATAAAATTAAATACGGAATGAAAGAAAAAACTAGTTTATTTAATCAGTTTTAATATATGTGATTTTGCGAAAATGTTCTCAATCTTATTTTTTTTATGTTCACAGTGATCTAATTTTGTTTTATGCTTTTTTTATGTTCATTCATATTTGTGAAAAAAATATGAAAGTAAACATGGAATGAAATAGAAAGCCAGTTTCTTTTATCTTTAATCATTATAAGTGTTTTACGAAAATATTCTCAATCTTATTTTATTAATGTTCACAATGATCTAATTTTGTTTTTTTTACCTTTTCATGTTATTAATATAAAAGTAAACATGAAACGAAGGAAAAGGCAATTTTTTCAATCTGGTTTTGCAAAAATGTTCTCAATCTTAATTTTTAATATTCACAATGATATAATTTTTTTTTTACCTTTTTATATTCAGTTTCTTTTCAATTGGTTATGTAATAATTAATATAAATCAATGTATATAGATATCACAGTCTAAGTTAAAATACTTGAAATGTATGAGAATCAATTAATCAAAATTTACCACATGTAATAAACATTTTAACTAACAAAAGTCAAATATAAATACAGAAATAAATATAATTAAAACTGTTTATTTTTATTTTCAATTTATTATTTACAAGTTTTAAAATAATTTTCAAATCCATATATACACGGGTTCTAATCTAGTATCCTGTAAGAGAATATATATATATATATATATATATATATATATATATATAAATAGAAGATGAATATAAAAACTGACTAAATATAAGTTTTGTAGTAAAAACTCACAAACAAGGCTATTAATCAAAATCAAGCACTATGGAGACGACAAGGTTAAGCTAAGTGCAAAACAGTGAGTTATGGTCGGATTCATAATTTATATGTTCAGATAATGAGGAGGATACAAGTTTGCTTAAACTTATCTTGATCATCATTTGGTCTTCATCATGATCGTTTCAATTGTACGCCTATTTGGCATGGATTCGCATATAAAAGTGGTGTGAAGTATAAAGCAAAATACTAAAGAAGAGAAAGACTATTGTTGAATAAAAAGGTTGATAATTCTGTAAATTCATATGTGATTAACAAAATTACTTATCTCATGGCCAAAGTAATTCATATAGTTGACATTAACAACCTTTCTCTGCTGTTTAGAATGAACAGTTAGGCACTTAGTGAAAGGGAGATGAGGGACGATAGTTTGAATTTCTTGATCTTTGCGGAGTCCCGTGGCTGAAACACAACCTCGGTGCTCGACCTTACGGTCACTTCCTTCGACTCTGATCCTGAACTGCCTTCACTTCTGTAGTCTCTATACGAGTACAGAACCTGCAACCTCGAGGGAGCTGCAAACCCCGATTCACTTTTTAGTTAGTTTCACTCGATTTCTACCATTTTCGCTACAAATACACACTTCGTAAATTGAAATCACATCACTGGGAACGAAAACGAAGCAGATCAAGGTCCTAATTGTTCCGAACATCAATCTTTTGTACATATGCAAAAACAATATTCTAAAAACAATTCGGTTTTTTTTTTTCATTTAACTTTGAAAACATTTTTGCATTTAGCGTCTGCATTTGCAAGATTAATGGATAAATTTTGTTTCTAAAGATTGTGGTTCGTTTAAAATAAAGCACACTACCTGTAAATCAAATGCAAACAAATACTCGAGGCCTAAAGAAAAAGAAATTACCGAATCCAAGCATGCTTGTTTGCTGAATAGAGATACGGTCAATTTTTGATCTTTTGATATGTCGCAAAGCTAAAGTGTCTTCCTGCTTTCCTTTAAACTCGAGGAACTCCCCTAACACGATTTTGCTACTTTTGAGCTCCACCCTGCATCATAATCAACCTTTAGAGAACAGAACTACTTCACCCAGGGTTAAAGAGAGAACCCAAAAACTCTCACCACCTCGAACAAAACTTTAATTTAATTTCAATAAAGACAAAAGGTATGACCTATCCCACATTGGAGCCGTGCCAAGGATGAAATCAAGTTTTTGATGCGAAGATTCCTGCATCTCTTTCCCTGTGCTGAATGCGCCTTTAACCCAACCAGTAAGTTTATTTTTCGATACTGGTTTCAGATGCTGCCACTCTTCGTACGTGGTTACCTCACTCGGGAATGCATGAATGGTACTGAAAAAGTAACAAGAAAATATGTCTTTGCATCACTAGAAAATCAAAAGGTTATGTAATTGCAATTGACGTTTCTCTCTCTAGCGGTATGCAAACATAAGCGGAACCATGAAATACTGAGTTACAATACATACCGAAAACTTGGATTGGGAATTATAACTCTGCAAGACAGTTTTCCTTCTAGCAAAGTAACACCCCTCTGTTCAAGATATGATTCAAGAACTGAAGCTTGTTTCTTGACTTCAGCCAGCTGAGAAAACACACATCTACTAGTTTAAAGCAAAGTAACATATATGGATGATGCAGGTCAGCAATTTAACATATGGAAAAGTTTCTTAATTCAATTGATATATGTCTTGACATCATCCATGATATGGATCTGTAATTGCAATTGATGTTTCTTTCTCTAGCTACGTCAAGCCAAACTCTGGACATTTGATTTAAGAAACTTAGTTATATCATCTTGTAGTCAACTGGTTTGTCCAACTGGTATACGATACAGGAGAAAAGAAAGGAGAAACAAGCACATTCTCTTAGTCAACAAGAAGCACCTCTTTCACCAGCAGTCCTAAATTATATCATAATCTACTCAAGCGACAACCATACTGGTTTCAGATGCTACTCAAAAACTTGCACTTCGCCAAAACACATATATAGACACATTTACATTCGTTTGTCCGACAAGGAACCTTACATGTAGTGAACTTACTCATTTCACAGATTAACGCTTCAATCACTTCTCACTAACTATATCCGTATAAACAGAAAAGCCCAGTAAACTATAAGTTATCAGCTGTTGAGTTTTTGCAGAACGTCATGACCATAAAGTTACAATCCACATGACAATAATAGCAGAGTTCCAAAATATCCATCTTCTAACCAGAATATCAAAGTTAAGAAAATCACCAACAACAACAGTAAACGCCATGGGTGTTCTAACTGGAACCATTGTGTAACCATTGCACAAAGAATAAGATTCATGTAAACCAAACGAAACAACCAATTGAAACAAAATATACTTACTGGATCAGGGTAAGTCTCAGTTCTATGATGCTTCCCACCTTCACAGACCCAGCTTCCATCACTCGTTACCGTGACGAACCCCGATAGATTCTTAACACCGACCACCACAACTTCTCTAAAACCAACATAACATTTCTTTCTTCAAGTTAACACATATTGTTCGCTCACCTCGAAGAAACGGATATAACAAGTGAGAAATTTACCCTTTAGTAACGAGAACAACATCGATGTCCTGTCTGGAAGCAGTGTCTGCATCTGGAATTCGAAGACCTACATAAGCTTTTCCTCCATAAAGCTTCTCAAGTCTGAAGTTTAGAAGAAAAGAGAAAAATCAGTTCGAATTACGAAATCGATGGAGTTCAAGGAATCGAGAATTGAAGATCGGGAATCAGAAAAATCGGGGAAAAGAGAGGGTTGTCTTTGTACCTGTGAGCAACGGAGAAGAGAGCAGTGGAATCGGAGGTTTCTACGTCGGAAAATTCGTCGTCGGAGAAGAAACGACGGACGAGTTTGTAGATGACGAGACCACAGATGATCTCCAACCACATCGTTATTCTTTTGGAATTGAGAAACGCTTGGAAAATGAGAGAAAAAAAAACCCAGCCGAAGTAAACAAATAGTGGCCTTGTTACAAAAAAAAAAAGTAAACAAAAGTCGCTAACATAAAAATGCAAAAACGGAACGAAAAAAAAGTCTCAATGGGCTTAAAGCCCTAAACAGAATAAAAGAGTTCGACGAAAAGGGAAATTACTCAAATTAAAAATAACTAATTAGCGATTGGTATTATAAAATACTAGGTTATTGTCCGCACGTTTGTACAGGGTAATGTTTGTAAAAATATTTAAGAGATATTCTATAATTTATTAAGTTTTGAAAAATATTTGGGTATCTAAAAATGTTCAGTCGAGATTTGAAAAAATTTAGATATTTTTGTTTTTAACTTAAACTTATACAAAACGAGATTTACATTTATTTTTGTCTGAGGTTTTGAAAAATAATATTTTTTTCGCTTTTATAATATGTGAATCAAAGATGTTGCAAAATAATAAATACTCGTAGATCTAAAACATGGAAATAAATTTTATTTTCATTAATAAAACTGGTAACTAATTTAATTTACTAAACCAATAAAATTATCAAATTATTTGTGATTTGTTCGATTTAAATTCGATTTAATTTAAGTAATTTTAAATAAAGTATTTGGTAATAAGGATAGCACACAAAAATAAATCAATAAAGAGATAATGACATCTAAGCTAATGCTTCATGTTTAATATATGTTAGCTGCTTTTTAAAAAAAAAACAATTCACATAAATCTTCTGTCATATTTATTTAAATTGAATTGTTTAAACTACATACAAAAAACCTAAATATATTAATTTTAGATTTTTAAAAGATTAAATGCAATTAAAAATAAATAATTAGAGAAGTTTTTGTTTGGTTGCAAGCAAGATTGTGTTTGGTTGCAAAAATAAATTATTTAAGTTTTTAACCAATATTAAAATTTAGAAAATTTAAAATTCTGAGATAATGACACATAAGCCACTAATGCTTCATGTTTAATATATGTTAGATTTTATATTATTAATTTAATCATATAACATATAAAAGTTGATGGCATAGTGCATTGAGTCCACATCATATCTATTACTAATACAAGTTGATGCTAAATGCTTCTAAGGGTGTCCACATAGGATTTAAAGATTCAATTTTATTGGTACACATCATCATTATTTTTAGTTAATTATATATTATATCTTAGAATTAATTAATTCATTTTAATTATTATAAAAAAAATTTCTAAATTTTGATTAATTTTGTTTTTGTTGTTATTAGGAAAGTTTCTAAATTTTAAGTTAGTTATTAATAAAAATAAAAATAGATCTTATTTTTCTATTAACAATAAAAAAAGTAAATTAACATATAAATAGATTATGAAAAAAAATTCATATATATTGAACAAAATTATTAAAAACTGTATTTAAAACCATAACTAAATTATTTTTAAATATTAATCACGACAAACAATTAAAATCCGAACTGCTAACTTAAAATATATTAGTTGTGATATGTGTTGATGTTTTAGGCCAATGAGAGCGTCAACATATGACATATATACTTAATCTTATTAGTCTATATCAGTATTTTTCATTAAACAAAGAAAAATAAAATATATTATTAATAATTTAAAAAAATTAAAACATACAAAAATATAAAATTATCACAATAGAATGGAAGATTATGATAATGTTTTTTTAACTAACAAAAAAACCAAACATAAATTAATTTTCACAACATGTCAATACAATTAAAATGAAAATTCATATTGAAAAACTTAAATTAATGAAAAAAAGAAGATATTAACTTGATATCTATGCTATTTTTTATTTAACAAAATCAATATAAAAAAAATAAGTAAGAAAATAAAAAAACTTAAGCAATACTAAAAAACTTTACTAACAAAAAGAAGTTAAATATTTAAGCCAATGATTTAAGAAATCAATATTAAGAAACTAATTAACAAAAAAATACAAAATAAAAATTAAGTTTTACAAAATATTAAATTTTAAAAAATCACCTAAAAAGAAATTGACTTGATATCTGATTAACTACTTAAGAAATCAATATAAAAATATTTAACTAACAAAAAAACAAAAAATAAAGTTATGCCTTCAAAAATATCAATATTTTTAAAAAAAATATGTGTTAAAATAAAATAGAAATCAATATCAAGAGAAATAAATTATCAAAGGAAAAATTTGTATAAAGAAAACCTAGCTTGATATTTGGGCTAATATTTTTGAAAATTAACATAAATAAATTAACTAAAAAAACAAATGATGGTATAAGCTTTTCAGAGAAATCCACATAAAATTTAGAATACCCAGTTATAGCATGTCAAAATAGCATTATAATTAAAATAAAAATTAATGTGAAAAATAAATTTAACAAAGAAAAAATATTTATGTAAAAGAGATTAAATTGATATATGTCACCTATTTAGAAATTAATAACAAAAGAAATTAATTATAAAATATATATCTTTAAAATATAACAAACATGCCCAAAACTAGATAAATTAAAATAAAATATAAAATTACCATCGAAAGATATGTAAAATAACAAAAAATAAAATCTACGAAGAAAATTAGTTTAAAATTTAGTTCTAGAAAATTTATGATTATAAACTATTGGTATTGAATATTAATAACCATATAAAGTTACAGTAGATTATACAAGTTTCTGAAGCAAACATCTTATTTAAATTTACAATGACTAATACATTGGCTGCATATGGTTTAAAAAAACTAACAAAAAATACTGTACACAAGTAAGCTTACATTCGAAATATAAGAACTAATTTATACATAGTTACTACTTATAACTTAGCCAATATGAACAGCATATGAGTAACATCTTCTAAAATTTCCTTTAAATAAAAAAGGTCCTGTTCGTTTATTAATCGCTGCGGCAAGTGACTGCAAGAAAAACAAAGCAAGTGACTGCGGCAACAGAGAGAAAAATTGCCGCTGAAAATGAACGCTGCTGTTGTTAAAGATGGCCGCCGGTGTTGTTTGTGAAACGCTTAATTTTTCAGGCGGTAGTTTTAAGTTGACGCGACCACTGCTGCGGTTACTTTTCTCTCCATCAGCGCCTCCGACGAAGTCGTTTAGTTTGTTGATTGCTACAATAACCATCGTTTTATTCTGTCGCAGACGCAGACACAGCGACGAGCAGAAGAACAGGGCTAAATTATGACAAAGTTATGATCAAATTCAAATTAAAATATATCTAGATAAACTATTCGAATCAAAACATGAATAAACCACACAAAATATGAAAACAGTGATAATATGAAGACTTCACACCATCTTACATGTTTTAAAAAAAAATTATCAAATAGTTGATTGTAAATAAAACGGATCTTATAAACTGAATAGAGATATAACCTAAAATTCATAGAAAATCTTGTAGAGAAGCAACAAGCAGCTTTACATGATTATTGTAGCATCCTAACAAAAGTAAATCCAAATCAACATGAATCATATATTATATATACATAGATACACAACATCAGTGAGACATTTAATCAAAAACTAAATATTTGAACATATAAACCTTAAAAAGAAGAACTATAGATATCCTAAGGACATAAAACAAAACACCAAAAAAGTAGTAAGAAAATTATTCTCTAAATCAAACGTATGCACGTCGAAGTTGGATAATTTGTTAGATGTTATTACTATGATTTTACTTAATAACATTTATGATTCATTATTTTTAGTTAATTATATATTGTATGTTAAAATTAATTAATTCGTTTTAATTGTTATAAGGAAAATTTCTAAATTTTAATTAATTTCGTTTTTGTTGTTATTAGGAAAGTTTCTAAATTTTAAGTAAAAATAGTTTTGAAAATAGATCTTATTTTTTAATTAATAATAAAAATGTAAATAAACATATAAATAGATTATGAACAAAAAATAATATATTGAACAAAATTATTAAAAACTATAATTAAAACCATACTTAAATTATTTTAAAATTTTAATCACGACAAACAATTAAAATCTGAACTGCTACCTTAAAATATATTAGTTTTGGTCCGTGTTGATGTTTTAGGCCAATGAGAGTGTCCACATATGACATATATAACCAATCTGATTAGTCTATATTAACATTTTTCATTAAACATAAAAAATATTATTAATAATTTAAATAAATTAAAACATATAAAATTATAAAATTATCACAATAGAATGGAAGATTATGATAATGTTTTTTTAACTAACAAAAAAACCAAACATAAATTAATTTTCACAACATGTCAATACAATTAAAATGAAAATTCATGTTGAAAAACTTAAATTAATGAAAAAAAGAAGATATTAACTTGATATCTATGCTATTTTTTATTTAACAAAATCAATATAAAAAAAATAAGTAAGAAAATAAAAAAACTTAAGCAATACTAAAAAACTTTACTAACAAAAAGAAGTTAAATATTTAAGCCAATGATTTAAGAAATCAATATTAAGAAACTAATTAACAAAAAAATACAAAATAAAAATTAAGTTTTACAAAATATTAAATTTTAAAAAATCACCTAAAAAGAAATTGACTTGATATCTGATTAACTACTTAAGAAATCAATATAAAAATATTTAACTAACAAAAAAACAAAAAATAAAGTTATGCCTTCAAAAATATCAATATTTTTAAAAAAAATATGTGTTAAAATAAAATAGAAATCAATATCAAGAGAAATAAATTATCAAAGGAAAAATTTGTATAAAGAAAACCTAGCTTGATATTTGGGCTAATATTTTTGAAAATTAACATAAATAAATTAACTAAAAAAACAAATGATGGTATAAGCTTTTCAGAGAAATCCACATAAAATTTAGAATACCCAGTTATAGCATGTCAAAATAGCATTATAATTAAAATAAAAATTAATGTGAAAAATAAATTTAACAAAGAAAAAATATTTATGTAAAAGAGATTAAATTGATATATGTCACCTATTTAGAAATTAATAACAAA